TTATTCTTTGACGTACCATCTTCTTTTGCTGATGTCACGACATCAAGACAGGGAAAGCATATTAAGTTTCAAAACAATTGAATGGAAAATAAACAAGTCTAATACTCATAATTAGAAAATACTGTAACCTAATGGGGAGTAGTACCATGGAAACATTTATACAAAAGTAAGCCTGAAGGAGAATTCAACCCCTTCAATTCTTCTTCACCCAGGAAAGAACAAAGTGGCTTATCCTATTGTACCTGCTTTGATTTGATTCAGTAATCAATCTGGCCTGCTTAGGACATGCAGGATTTCTTGTATATTTAGTTGTCTTGCAATGGAAGAGTCTTGAAGTAGAGCCAGTGGAATCAAGTGCTAGTTGGAAGACTTGTAGCCCATGCTTCTTGGTCACAGTTGGGCCTGGATCAACTCAGTGTAGCAAGAGCTACAAGCAAGTTTCTTTGTCCTTGGAAGAGCCCATTAAATCATAATTATAGTGAAAATTAAAAATCCCAAAGACCCCCAAGCAGTAAAAGTCCTTATATATTTTTAAATTTATATTTCTAATATACCTCACTGAAAGTTAAACTTCAGCACAAATGGACAGCTTTCTTCCTGGATGCCTTTTTGTGGAAGCTTCACAGTTTGATTATCAAGGAATGAGCCTACAACTTTCTAAAGTGCATCCAAGGATGGGGCACTTCCTGGTTGAAAGGAGCTGATCAGAGCTCAGTGGTAAAACGAGTCTGAGAGTTAACAAAGGCATGGCTATCAGGAGTGAAGTAGCTGCCGTGGCTTGGTCCTGGGTTTCTGAAGAGTCTAGAATCTTTATGGCTGATGCTACCTTCCATGGTCATGCTCCAATAAATTCACTGCTTGGTGGTGCTACTCGTAGGTATTCTGCATTTTCAGCTGTGGGACCCTTAAAGATGCCATTTGGCTTGGATTCCTTGGGCAAGAAGTCCTGTTGGTAGTCAGGGTTGTCCAGGCTAATTTGGTGGTTGCCTTTCTGGGCCCAGTGGGCAGAGCTGTCAAATGCACTGTTGACACAAATAGGCTGGGTGGTGTTGAGATATTCAGGGTTGCCCACGGCGTTACTGTGGGGATTTTGGTAGTGTGGGTCTCTGCCAGCTGCTGGATGCAAGGGTTGATTGTGATAGACAGGGTTCTGCACAGATCCTGCAGGCCTCTTAGGAATAGACTGGTTTATATATTCTGAAATAGAAAAAAAAAGTGAAATAATGAGAAATGAAACAATGAGAAAAGCATCATTCCAAAATAACAAAGCAGGATTCCATGGCTCATTGTGAACCCTGTGAATCTCTTCAATGAGGCAACCGATCACAGAAGGTAAGGAAGCTACTGTAAAATAAACTGTGTTCATTTTTGTACTTGAAGCAATGCACACATGTATCTTTTGTAAATTTAAAATTCTCAGAGGATAGCTTGCCTTCATTTGCGTATGTGTGTGTGAATTGTGCACACAGTGTGAATGTCTGCAGCAAAAGCTTAGATTAGGAAGACACATGTTTCATAGTTAGGAATGGAGCCAGGAGAAAAGAAAATATATGTATCACACACACACACACACACACACACACACACACACACACACACACACATGGATAATATTGCTATTTGCTTCAAACTCTACAAAATCTGTAGGTTCATTTCTAAAGCAAACCTGCAGCAAAAACAAAAACAAAACAGAGACAATTTAAATGCAACACAAAGAACTTGTACATGTTTGGTCACTTTGTATTTATCTGCTTCTTACTCCCTTCATTCTATCTACAAATTTGCCATAGTCTCTGCCTCTGGATCAGCTAGAAAGGTTCCAGGGAATAAGGACCAGGCACTGCTGATTGGGGTTGAGGGGGCTAGTATGCATGACTGTTTCCTGAGCAAGCCACTTACCAGGTGCTGGGAGGAATGTATCATCTATGCTGTCCTCTGTCAAGGCACCAGTTGGGTCTGAGCTGTACCGCTGCAAGAAGCTGTCCTCCTTTGTGGGACAACTCTGCTGGAGAGCAAGTTAGGCAAGGTTACCATAATCAGTATTACTCAAATTTCACTGTGGATATATTATCCGAGATCCTATTAATTTACTGATTCCAATCCGGTGGGTCTGGGGCAGGGCCTGAGAGCACGGATTTCTGAGATGCCCTCAGGTCATGCCCCTGCTATTGGGCCACAGATCTCTGGACAAGCAGTGAAGTCCTGATCAAGACTTCTGTCCAACAAAACTTTCCATCATGATGGAGAGGACCTGTCATATGTGTTCTTTGAGAATAGCAGCTGCTAGCCACAAGTGGCTACTGAACATTTTAAATGTGTGAAGAACTGGATTTTATATTTTATTTTATTTTAATTATTTAAAATTTAAGTAGCCACATGTGGTTAATGGCATCTGTACTATATACTGTGCATGTCTAGATTCAAGCTTCATATTTGATCACACACCAGCATTACTCAGAAGGCTGGGTGAATCATACATTATTAGGCTCCAAATTGAGAGGTCCTGTTTCAGTAGGTCTGGGTGGTATCCCAAGAATTCACATTTCTGACAATGTTCCAGGTGGTTCTGATGCTGCTTGTCCACAAACTACATTTTTGAATTGCACTGTGATATGTAACAGCTAGTTGCTGTCTCTATGGTAAGCGTCTAGGAAACTATACTGGGTGGAAAACAGGCAGAAAGAAATCTGGGTTAAGATGAGCATTTTCCAGGTGTAATAGAACAGTGGTTCAGAGCTGTACTTTAATTCATGTCATCAAGTGTTTGTACATACCCCATTTCTGTTAATGCAAGCCACAGTGGAATTGTTGCTGGTTGCACTCTGAAAAAGAAACAGAGATGTTTCTCCTGGTACACTTGTACATTCTCACTGAATTCAGGGGAGTGGATATGTTTTAAGGTGCTTAATTTTGTCTTGAATCATTAGCCTTAGAAAAAGTAGGTTGGTTTGATTTCATTCTGTTCCACAGCAAACCCAAAATGATCACGATCAATGATTACAATCAATGTTGCAATGCAATAACAATGACTTGATGATACTTACACTCACTTGATTGATTTGGGATTTACCATTTGGTCAAAATTTTCTCCTTTTTCTTGATGTGAGTACTACTAGATGGTTGTCATTTTCTCTCAAACACAATTTATTCAAACCGAGAGAGAGAGAGAGAGAGAGAGAGAGAGAGAGAGAGAGAGAGAGAGAGAGACTGATTCATACCAGAGAACTTAAGAGGGGAGTCCGAGATGTAGATGGGCTGTTGAAGAAGCCCTGTTGTGGAATGAGGTACTCATCAGCATCCACCACATCTTCCATGTCATCTTCATCCATCAGGGCACGATAAAAATTGGAGTCTGTAGGGCTTGGCAAATGCATTCTTTCATCCCCCTGGTGTAGAAATTTTGAGACCATTAAAAATGGCCATAGAAAAATGAAATTATAGCATTTCCCCATAAATGAATGGAACTGGAGAATATTATGCTAAGTGAAATAAGCCAAAAAATCAAAGGCCAAATATTCTTTCTGATATGCAGATGCTCATATACAATAGGGGGTTGGGGAGGGGAGAACAAAAGTTCATTGGATTAGGTGAAGGAGAATGAAGGGAAGGGAGGAGGATGGGAACAGAAAGACAGTAGAATGAATCAGACATAACTTTCCTATGTTCATATACGAATACACAACCAGTGAAACTCCACATCATGTACAACCATAGAATCAGAAGTTATATTCTAGGTATGTATAATATGTCTAAATACATTCTAATATCATGTGTACCTAAAAAGAACAAATAAAATTTTTTTAAAAAGGGCCATAGAGATGCTAGTCTACTTCCTGGCTACAGGAATAGGGGTCCATTGTTAGCAGGTGCCTGTATATTGGCCAATTAGGTATTAATATAAATCTTGCAGTTTTCTGAAGTATAACTGTTACCTCTCCAACTATGTATGTGCACCTTAGAATAAAACATTACTCCTTGCACATCATAAAATGCATAGGCAATGAAATCAACTTAGAAGAGAAGGGAAACAGTAGAAGCATTTATTGAAAGTATACTACGCTGTTAAGTGTAGTGCAATGTATTTTGCATGTTATTTTGATGAATCTTTAAAACAATCCTGCGAGCTTGGTTTTGCTATTCCCATGTTAGGTAAGGAGGTGTTGGAGATGACATAGGGCAAACGTCGACACAGGGATCTGAAACCAGATTTGCCTGACTACAAAGTCCTGCTTCTCTACTGAACCAAGATAGGGCTTTGGTGAATGGAAATGTGAGATTACACAAGGAACTGAGAGAAAGACTGTCTGAGTGGGAAAGTTCAGATGGGATGGTGACATGGAGTTGGATGGAAACCACCATAGAACCTTGCTTACTTCAGTCTGTGTTATGACCAAGGCTTGCTCTTCTACTGTTCAGGAAGATTTTAATAACACAACCCAGAAACAGGCCATACTGGCACAGTGACATGTGATGCTCATCCGAGGAACTTTTATCAAGGGAAGTGCAAACTGTGGTCTTAGTACCTGTATGACAAGATAGCGCTGGGGATCTCGAGCCATTTTGGAGAATTCCACGATCAACTCCCGGAACTTTGGGCGACTGTCTGCATCTATCATCCAGCCTAAGGAACAATGAAGCAAGATGGCAATTAGAATTCTGGAAGAAATGCTAAAGATGACTCTGCTTAAAGAAAGCATTTACTGTCATTTGTCCTGTTAGACAAATAAATTATGAAGGAACCTAATCTTTGTGATAGACTTTTCAGTCTTGGCATGCTAGCACTAATTACCATTTAAAGAGCATGATAACACCATATTTTGAATTGGAATAACAATATCATTCTCTAATTTTTATACATCTGCTGTTCCTAGGTTCAGCATTCTTGTATTATCACCTTCAGTGACGGAAAAGCATTGCGGTGTGCAATTGCTATCTATGACCTACTCTGACAGTAGGGTGCCTGAGTATCTAGACTAAGTACTCACTCAACAGTCACTCTCAGTAGTTTTTCAATTCAGAGATATATCAAGGCTTTGAGGAACTTAGAGTTGAGACTTCTCCACCCTGAAGGTTTCATTACATCCGCACTCAGTCACCATTCATGCAAGGGACAGGACTGGCTGTCTCAGTGCCTTTCTATTGATAATTTATATTTTTTCCAGTGCTGACGATCACATCCAGGGCTCTGCCTAAGCCAGTGCCCTCCCTAGGAGCATGCTTTTGGCAATCACACTGGTGCACTGGATTATACAACTATCTAAATCTAGATTCAGAAAGCTGGAGGCAAGGCTGTCGACTTGGAAATCCTCATGCCTCTTGAGGGTTCATATTTATTTTCCATTAGCAGGATGTCAAGCTATTTTTAGGTCAGTTTGCTATGTGACCTTAGACAAATTATGTGACCTCTCTGGGTTCCAGCTTCCTCAGCCCAAACTGAGGCGGTGAAAATAGGTTAACTCTGTGGTCTAAAGTTCAGAAAGGCATTAATATTTACATTATCTTGTCTTCCTCATATTCCCTGGGCCTCCTCTTATGCAAACGCTTATCACACATGTGATGTTACCTTCAGAGCCCAGTTCACTTGTGATTCTGGTAGAATAATAGCACCAATCAAATCACGCACTCTTATTTCTATTAAGATGTTTAAATGCTATAGACAGAAGACCTCACATAAATCTGCTGTTTCAAAGATTTAATCTAATGCAGAAATGTTGATTCTATCAGCCTTATGTGATTACTCATTGTTAGGCATTTAAAAACATGCAGTCTCTCTGGTAACAGGCTTCAAAATGTTGGACAGCTCTGCATTTCATTGAGCAACTTAGGGAAGGGAGTATTTTGCTGTAATGGCTTATGAAAATCTTCCATTTTATTTATTTGCTTGCAAATATGTGCATATGTTAGGTCACATTGCTCACTGAGTCAAAGAAGTGTGTTTTTTTTTTTGTTTGTTTGTTTGGTTTTAGTTGTTGTTGGACCTTTATTTATTAATTTATATGTGGTGCTCAGAATTGAACCCAGTGCCTCACACATGCTAGGCGAGTGCTCTACCACTGAACCACAATCTCAGCCCAAAGGAGTGTTTTTTGAAGAATGCTTTACAGATGTTTCTGGACTTGGATGCCTGCCTCAAAGAATGTGATAACATTTCTTCAGGAAATAAAAGGCCTGAGCTATTTGGCCAAGAGCAGCAGGTGCTCTGAGTGCCCAGGTTCAGCTACGGAGTATGGATGGTCACCCCGGTCACTCACACTTGACCATGATCATGTAGACATCAATGGTGCAGATGGGAGGCTGTGGAAGGCGCTCTCCTTTTTCTAGGATGGATGAGATCTCACTTGCAGGGATTCCATCATAAGGCTTGGACCCAAAAGTCATCAACTCCCAAACAGTGACTCCTGAGCAGATGAAACAAGAAAAAAAAGCAGTCACATTGTGAGTCAACAATAATCATAACATCTAGTTGTCTTCAGTTGTCATTGTTGCTTACTATTTCTCAGGGTTGAAAAACTTATGTTTCAATAGCTTTGGGCAATTTGCTTAACTGCTGGAAGCTTCAGTTTACCTGTATATCAAGAGGGATAATAATGGCATTAGTCTCATAAGATGGTCAGGAGGATCAAGTAAGACATATAACTGAAATGTTTAGCACAACGCTTGCAAATAGTAACTGAGCTATGAATGGTAAATAAGCCTCAGTAAACACACTGAAAACGACAAAGATGATTCTGGCTGCACAAGAGTGATCCTGCTGGGGAGTACAAGTCACACACTCACACATCTACCCCCGAACCTTGTACCTGTGGAACACTAAGATGGAGATTCTGAAAAAGGTTGTAAACTGCATGTTTCTAAATAATAATAATTTAAAAAAAAACAGAAAAGCCTATACTCCTTTTTTAAAGAAATATTTTTAGTTGTAGATGGACATAATACCTTTATTTTATTTATTTATATTTATGTGGTGCTAAGGATGGAACCCAGTGCCCTCACATGCTAGGCAAGCGCTCTATCACTGAACTACAGCACCAGCCTTATACTCCTTTCAATAAACACAGAAACATCACAATTTCTGTTTCAAAGCCAATCAACAATCATGATTAAAATAAACTGAAGCAGTGTCAATTTTGGAGTCAATGTTCTCAGATGAGCTCTGGGTTCTGAACAGCCACAGGACTCTGGCAGTGTATCCTAACCTCCAGTTAGTCTAATGACCCATTTTTTCCAGACTTGTTCTCTGCAGACATTGAGGTTAAACATCCCCACTTCAAAAATTCAAAAGCCAACTTCTTTGAAATCTGAATTGTTTTGAGCACTGACATAATACTCAGAAATTTTGGATTTTTGAGTATTTCAATGATTTTGGATTTTCAGATTAAGGATGCTCCACTTTTGAAGTCTATGTAAATATTCCCAAATTTTTGCCTATTGCTATGGCTCAGTGATAGAGCACTTGCCTGGCATGTGTGAGGTACTGGGTTTGATTCTGAGCACCACATATAAATAAATAAAATAAAGTTCTATTAACAACTAAAAAATATTTTTTAAAATCCCCAAATTTAAAAAGCCCCCAAATCTGAAACACTTCTTGTCCCAAGAATTTCAGATAAAAGATTCTCAAACTGTCCCACCAATTCCCATTTAACTGTGATTTTAAACATGCTCAATGAATTCTTGTGGGAAGGCCAGTTTTTAGGTTTGAGAACAATTGATAAGGTTGGGGAGTGGGGTAATGGGTGGTAGATCATGAAGAACAGGAGGCTGTGTGAATTCCCTATCTTGAACTCCTTAATAAAACACACTATGCCCCAAATTTATTAAAATGAATATTTTGCCTTAACTAGAGACTGAAGAGAAGAGTGACTGAATATTTTTTTTAATATTTTTATTTTTTATTTTTAGCTGGACACAATATCTGTATTTTATTTTTATGTGGTGCTGAGGATCATACCCAGTGCCTCACACATGCCAGGCGAGCACGCTACCACTTGAGCCACATCCCCAGCCCCTGAATATGGTTTTTAAACTGAAAACTCAGGTTCATGGTCTAATATCTCCTGTGTACTGCCAGCTACAGCAGATTATAATCACACAATTACAGATGCATGATTGCTTTGACTTTCTGATACTACTTGTGATCACTGGAAGACACTAAGTCCCTGAATTCAAGAGAGTTCTCATTTATGTGACAAGTGTGGTCCAAATGGGACTGAGTTGGCACATACTAGAGGGCAAGCATATACCATGGCTGCATGGGACAGGCAAAACTGAGGTGTAGATCATTTATGATCTGGTGGGCTATGGTTAGGAGTTCAGATTTTATTTTGAAAAGCAAAGAAGGATGATAAACAGAGAAGTAGAAGCCTGATACAGTTAAAAAGAGTAGAGGCGAGAGTGTAAAATGTGCAGAGAAGACAAACAAGAGCTACTTCTGTGCTTTCCCTGGGGGAAGCAGGGGCCAGATTCATATGGGGATGGTGGAGTGATCAGGGCCAGGTCCCAGGGGGTGCCTCTTGGGGAGAAGACATATCTTGAAAAGTGCTTAAAGCAACAAGGTATGAGGAGAGCCTTATTTCCTTTTCTATTTCACTAATTGAGGAAACTCAGCTCATGAGTACATATCAAAATTCACTTATCCATTCATGGACAAACATCTCTGCCTTTGAAAAACTTCCATTCTAACAGAAAAGATACTCATGAAATTATAAAGAGAAAAAAGTTACATATTTGGAAATCATCAAGTTAATAACACTATAGGAAAAGAAAAATTGCTAAAAGAAAAATTACTAATCTGAATTATTTCGCTTTTGTGATAATGACTAAGTTTTCTTTGGAAATTTATCTCACGATCACTCTCCCCAAATTTATATTTCAATAGAGGTGGGAGATTCTTTCCTTCCACCCTGTTGCTGTAAATAGCTGCGTGTAGCTGACACTTTATAAATAAAGGTAGATAATAAGGTATTTTCTGGCCTTTCGGTGGATTGCTGGGTGAAACTTGAAGACCAAGTGTGATAACAGATGACTGGTGCTTGATACAGCTGCCAATGACATGGGTCAGTGACCATTTCTTAACAGGTAAGGCCCTCATACCTCATAGCCTCAGGACAAAGTAAGAACATAAAAGGCAGGTTTGGGAAGAGGTAGTACCTGTGTGGATGGAGCAGGGCCTGGCATGGCTACACTGGGATTCAGAGAAGGAAACAGAATCAGGTCCTGGGAGATGGTTCTCACCAGAGGGAGAAGCAGTAACTACCCCCCCCCCTTTTTTTCTGCCCATAGACATCCTCATGTACATGTTTGTGGAGCCATTCTCTCAGATATGAAAAGACCACCGTTTACTACATGAAATAACAGCCACAGAGTCAGTTCATCAGAAAAGCTTATTTCTCTACTGAGAAACCCTTCCCCGTGAAACCTTGTTTGTTGCCTTTCTTTAGTTCACTTCAAATTTATGGCATGAGTACTACCAAAAGCAATATACAGATTCAACGCAATCCCCATCAAAATACCAATTGTATTCTTCACAGAAATAGAAAAAACTGTCCTAAAATTCATTTGGAAGAATAAAAGACAGAATAGCCAAAGCAATTTTGAGCTCAAAGAGCAATGTCAGATGGGGGTGGGGTTGTGGCTCAGTGGTAGAGTGCATGCAATCATGTGTAAGGCACTGGGTTAGATTCTCAGCACCACATAAAAATAAGTAAATAAAAATAAAGGTTCATCCACAACTAAAAAATATATTATATTTTAAAAAAAGAGAAAAATGCCAGAGGTATCAGAATGCCTGACTTCAAATTATATTAAATTTGGGCTGGGGTTGTGCTCAGTGGTGGAGCACTTACCCAGTATGCAAGAGGCACTGGGTTTGATGCTCAGCAACACATAGAAATAAAATGAAATATTAAAAAATAATTATATCAAATTATAGTACAGAGTTATAGTTACAAAAACTGCATGATAAAAGCAGACACATTGATCAATAGTGCAGAAGAGAAGACAGAGAAAAACCCATATATCTACAGTCATTTGCTCATTGACAAAGCTTCCAAAAATATACATTGAGAAAAGACAGCCTTATAAACAAATACTTAAAAAGTGATAACTGGTTATCCATATTTAGAAGAATGAAACTAAACCCTATCTCTTACTTTGCACAAAAATCAAACTCAAAATGGATCAAAACCCTCAGAATTATACCAGAAACTATGCAACTCATAGAAGAAAATGAGGGTCAACACTCCAGCTTTTAGGCACAGGCAATAACTTTATCAACAGCACCCCTAAAGCTCATTAAAATGCCAAGAGTTAATAAGTAAAATGGCATCAAATTAAAAAGCTTCTGCACAACAAAGGAAAAAATGAGGAATGCGAAGAGAGAACCTACAGAATGGGAGAAAAAATCTTTGCTAGCTACTCTTCTGATAGAGGATTAATATCTACAATACATAAAAAGCTCAAAAATTTTACACCAAAAAACCCAAATGACCCAATTAATAAATGGGCAAATGAAGTAAACAAACTATCAAAAGAAGAAAAACAAATGGCTAACAGTACGTGAAAAAAAATGTTCAACATCATTAGCCACTGGGGAAATGCAAATCAAAACTACAAGGAGATTTCATCTCATATCAATCAGAATGGCAGTCATCAAGAATATAAAAAATAATAAGTGCTGGAGAGGATATGCAGACAAAGGAATACTTTTACCCTGTTGGTGGGACTGTAAATCAATACAACCACTATGGAAATCTGTATGGAGATTCCTTAAAAGACCAGGCATGGAACAACCATATGATCCAGCTATATCACATTTTGGTATTTACTCTGAAGAATTAAAGCATCTTACTACAGTGATACATGCATATTCATGTTTACGGCAGCATAATTCATAGTAGCCAAACTGTGGAACCCACCTAGGTGTCCATCAATGGATGAATGGATAAAGACAATGTGGTATATATAAACACTGGAATTTTATTCATACATAAAGGAAAATGTAATTATGGCATTTGCAGGAAAATGGATGGAACTAAAACCACCATGTTAAGTGAAATAAGTCAAATGCAGGAAGTCCAGGATTGTATGCATTTTTTCATATATGAAAGCTAGAGAGTAAACAGAAAAAGAAAGGTGGGAGTGGATCTCCTAAAAATCAAAGGGAGACCAATAGAGGAGAGGGACCAAGAAGTAAAAGGTAGGGAAGGCAGGAGCAAGTGCTGGGAATTGATATTGGCCAAATTACAACATATTTGTATATCATATGAATATGTAAAAACAGATCTCATCATGTCCAACTAAATGCACTAATAAAAAATGTGGGAAAAGCTGGATGCAGTGGCGCATGCCTGTAATCAAGCGGCTTGGGAGACTGAGGCAGGAGGATCCCAAGTTCAAAGACAGCCTCAACAACAGTGAAGCACTAAGCAAATCAGTGACACTCAGTCTCTAAATAAAATACAAAGTAGGGCTGGGGATGTGGCTTAGTGGTTGAATGCTTCTGAGTTCAATCTCCCGTGCCCCTCCCCCGAAATGTGGGAAAACCCCCCGAATTCATAGCATGAGGTCACTTTTGGTTTGACTTCATAGGTACAGGTATGTTCTAAGTTCCAGTTCTTTGCCCCTCCTATGACCCTCTCTCTGCCACATGAATTTATTGATTTCTGTAGTTACATTTATTCCAGTAGACTAAATTTCCTTTGTTGGATTTTCTCAGTATAATAGAGAGCAACTATCATGTTATTATTAGTCATTATCTTAAATGAAAACACTTGCATGTCAGTGCTTATACTGTAAACTAACAAACAACAAAACCCGGCTTAGCCTTAGCACAAATTCATTAGCATCAGGATTTTGACTCACCATAGCTCCAGACATCACTTTGGTGGGTATAAATTCGGTGTAAAATTGATTCCAAAGCCATCCACTTGATAGGCACCTTCAGATGATGAGAGATAAAGCATTAAGACTACTATTAGCTTCTCTCTGCTGAACAAAATTAAATCACACTAGAAGTAATTACAAATGACTAAGTGGAGAAGCCAGGCTACCGTTCCTGACTGGGACTTCAGGCCAAAGGCTGCCTCCCAGCAAGAAGAGATTTTAAATCCACCAATGAACAGGGTTACTCTGGTACCCCCTCAGAGCTGGCTTCAGGAATGCTACAGCGAAGGACCTTTGGGGCCACTGGCAATTCTGGTAAGCTGGGGACCCTGGTAGTGGACAGTGATCATAGCTACTCAGCATTTGGGTGCTTTTTCAGGGACCAATGTCACAAGGTTGATGACTGCCTGGAGTTATGCAGGTCAGGGTGAAACTCAAGAAAGGTACAGCTAATATAGCTGAGGTGTGGCTATATGTGTCCCCACTAGGAGGGGGACCTGTGTGAGAACATGTATCTCTCAATGTTGTGGCAATGTTGTGACAACCCATCCTAAGCCAGATGGAGGGCAAGGAGCGTATACTCAATGCCAGTTCTATGCAAAAGTCACAGAGATCCATGGGAGCTCTCACAAGAACATAGGGAGGACAGCTTTTTATACTTCTGAGACATTCTCAACAGCAGTGTGCCACCAAATTAGCTGTGGCATTTCCCAGCTGTTCTTTTGAAGGGTGCTTAAGTCCTGAAGGGAGCGGTTGAGAACTAACCTTTGTTAATGATCGCCTGGAGATGTTGATGACTATATCCTCTGACCATGTCAGAAACATCTTTGTTCCCTCTGCAGGCAAACCCCACTTCCAAAGCAGAAGACCCAGGCTAGACCCAGTTGCCTGTGGTTGTGCTGAGACCTCACCCAGAATGTTGGCAAATATCCCCTACATCAGTTGAGATCCCAGTCTCTGTTATCAGGAAAATGCTCCCTGATCTACAAGTCAGTTCCTTACCTTTCCTCCCTCTGCATGGTATTCTTTCTCCTCAGCCCCAAGCAGTTTGGCCAGTCCAAAATCTGTGATCTTGACATGCTGTGGTGTCTTCACTAGGACATTCCTGGCTGCCAGGTCACGATGCACCAAGCGCCGGTCTTCCAGGTAGTTCATGCCCTGAAACACAAGGGATTCTGCAGTGAGACAGTGAATTGTTTGTGAGATGACCAGTGTAATGGGAAGATGGTCCTCATGCATCTGAACTTAATGTCAAGGTCATGCCACACGTCTTGATGCCAGGGACTGGGTTTGAGTCTGTCTTCCTACTTCTGAATGCAGGACACAGATACTTGTGGCTGGTAAATGTTAGAAGTTATCAACTTATTGAATAAATGAAAAGTCAAGAAAAGAAAGTTTTAACTAGCGGCAGATTATTACTTTTTCTCCATCTGATCACTCAAGTTACAAATAGAAGAGGCCAGTGACTGAGCGCAAGCTCAGCTGTCAGGTGGAGAATGGGTCTTGGCACTTGCTGTGGAACTTGCCAACCATTCCATCTGCCAGGCTTTACCTTCCCTGCATGCAGCTTATCTTCACAGCAAGGAGGAAGATGCCAACCTCAACAGGCTGGGGCAAAGCAGAGTTTCTGGATGGATTTAAGCCATGCTTTTCTCATGCTTTCCTGAACTATCATACACAATCTGCCAGTGAAAAAAAATTTCATCCAGGTTTATTTGATTTTAAATTGAAACTACATTGATATTGGATATTCTTCTGCAAGGTACTATTCCCTACTAATTCCTTGGCTGCCTCCACAATTCTTTTATAGTCAAAATCACTGCTAAAAAAAATAGTAATACTTGCAATGCATCTAGCATAGCACTCAACACAAGGTGAATTCTAGAGACATTATCCCTCAAATACTGTCCTTACCCACGAGCCTTCTGGTGTCCTTGTCTTATGCACCTCTATGCTTGCTGGCAGATGGGGGCTACTTCTGGCTTCTATTTCTTGTTTGACAACTGCCCAGCAGAGCCAAAGCTCCTTTGGGCCTCACTGAGCTCCAGTCTGTTGTGAGATTGGCAGCCCACCTTCCCTGTGCAGGGCCATACTGGCAGGCAAAAGCTGGGAGGTGGTCAAGCCTGCAGACATCTCATGTTGCTTGTTCCACGGCCTCCCCCACTTACTCATAAATACACCTTCCTTCTCTTTAGCCAGAAGAGTCGGCTGCATTTCCCCCTTCCTTTCTGGCTGATGATCATGAACTCTTCAGCACAGAGCTGGTGCTTCAGCACAGAAGTGCTGGCTGAAGTGCACCAAATGGAAATGAATGGGTTTAACAAACTCTCCTTTACTCTGGTGTTTTGTAGCTAGGGAGACATCTCCACTCTAGAGCAGCTGCAGGGAATATCTGTAGACAAGAATGTTTTCTTACATTTTCTGGCAAATTCTTCATATTTTTGTATAGAGCCTAAGTGGGAAATTATTAACTGACCTGACAGAAGAGTAAAATTAAAAAATTCTTTCTAGGACAAAACCAGCCATCCTCTGAAAGTAGTACCTCACAAAGATGCACCAGGAATTATTCTCTGGGTGCTAGTTTTGAGGTCTTTAGTGCTTTTCTCTTTTTGGAAAAAAATCAACTGCTTTCCATACCTCAGATACACCTGGATTACTCCTTCTCCTTTGTATTACCTGGAAAGCTCCTAAATGTTAAGATGCTGTTCAATGTAAATGCTTCCCTTCCTAAGATGTCCCCTGTGCTAGATAATAAGGATGAACAGGACTCATGTCTTTTCAAGAAGAAGGTAGAAGCTTCTTCTCTGGAATATACTTCCAAGTTAGGAATTATTACTTAAGAGTGGGTGTGGAAAGAGAATGGGAAGGACTCGGAGCTGAGGAAACATTTCCAAACACAGACCTCATCTTTTTTGTTGTTGTTGTTCCTGTCACTCTTGCTATGATCTCTCTTCAAAGGCTGACTCCTTCCTCACTTTAATCTCCCTTTTGATTTATGGGATGGTGACAATGGTCTGTGCTTTGCTAGCCCTGTGTCTTATAAAAGAATAAGACCTCTGCTTATTAAATATGATGAACTCTTCAAAAGGGTTAATTATGCTTGGCTGCTTGCCTGGACAGACCTAACCTCTGCATTCCAGGCTGTATTAGCTCACTGGTTCTCTTTCCCTCTTTCTTCTCTACCCCTTTCTTTCTCTCAATACCCCTTGCTGTCTCTTTTCTGTCTACCCTGTATTTATTTCATTCATTTTTCCTCTGTGGAAGCTATTGCATAGATGTTGCACAGACCTAGAGCAGCAAGTAATAGTAATAGCCCTATACAGAGGACTAGTAAACTGCTTTCTTACCTCTCTCTTTAATTTTTTTTTTCTTGTGTGTGTGTATGTGTTTTGTGTTGTTCATGAAACTCAAAGGGGAACTTCAGAAGGCATTTCCAGCCTGGTTTAACCACCAGGACTAACTTTCATTCTGTCTCCTTAAATGCCTAACAGAAGATTTGGTATCTGGGACACATTGTAACCATTTATGGAATAATAAATGATTGAATAAATGAATGATTGAATAATAACATTTGCTGACAGCTTTAAGCACTAAGCATGTGCCAGCCACCCCAAACACCTCCCCAACAGAATCCTCTTTCTGTCCAGGTACACATGTGACCACCTTGGTAGAGACCAGGGGCTCTAGGAATCAAAGCATGCTGTTGAACCGACCAAGTCCTCAGTTCCCAAGACCACCATCATGACCTTGGCCTTCACAGCCCTGCCGGGGGGCCTTGAAGTGAAACTTGCCTGCTGGGCCAAAAGCTGCTTGGGCTACCAGAAACAAAACAAAACAAAAATCTCCGCACCTTGGCCCTGTGCCACAAAGTAAGTCCTGTCATTGTGTGAATCTAATAAATCCAACGGAGCTCCACCCCAGCCCTGCCCCACTCTTCAGGCTCAGGGATTTAAAGGAGCAGCACAACTTCAACATGGTGTGAGGTTCTCTGAGAACATCAGTCTTCAGAGAAGGGTTGGGAAAGGGGAGGAAAGAACTGTTTACATATTCTGGCTAATCAGCCAGAGGGTCTTAAATCAGAGACAATTTGGGGACAAAGAGATTAGACTATTTGAACTTAGATAAAACTCCACTCATGGGTCTCTGTCCCACAGTCTCAGACAGTTTGAAAGGCCATCTCTGTGCCCAGCAGAGTTATATTTTAACCAGCCATCAAAGATAAGGCCTGTGATATCACTTATGAACCCTCAGGCTCTAAGCAGATATGCCACAGGAAGTAATATCAGCACACGCCCCGGTGCGGCCTCTGGGGAAGCTCATTTCCTGATTCTTCTCATTTTAATTGAATTGAACCTATTTATTTTTGTTAATTACTACAGGAAAACTAGAATGCATTTTGAAATACTGAGGTTAAAAGGGAATTTGAAGAGCCACACTGGAACTTAAACTTAGAAAAGACAGGCCCAGGGATATGCTTCACACGGATATCAAAGATTTTTCTGGCACAGTACCTATGGAACAAGAAAGCACTGGGGGTGGTGGGGCTTGACCTTTAAAGACTCTGTTTTCCCAAGGGCTGCAGCATCCTACAAGTCTTGGGAGGAGTTCAGAGAGGAGGCTGGAACTGGATCCATTTCTGTTCTGTTTTATTAACCACAATGTGGAAAATTCCGGTGAGCGTGGATTTCATGAGCACAGAAATGGCAGAAAGTAGGACAAGGGGAGTGGGCACATGTTTTTTGTAAAGTCAAGAGCATGGCTTATGCATCACTGAGCGCCTGTCTTCCAAGGAGGCAGGAAAGTGTCAGAATTTCCCATTCCAGGCTAGGGGTGGTGTGCCCCTGGAATCCTACTCTGCCAGAAGAGGAAGACAGCTGGGATTGCTGGCCTGTGACAGTCCCCTGATCTGTGACATCAAATGCAGGGAAAGAGTGAGGACTTGTGAGCAAAGCTGTTTGGTGTCAAATCCTGATTTTCATATGTACTGGCCTGAGATGTTGGCAAGTTACTTAATGGCCCCATGTCTCAGTCTTCCCATGGATAGAATGGACCAATCAGACAGAGCATTAGTGAGTTTATCCATGCAGGGTACTCGGATGATACCTAGGGAAGAGTTCTGTGCAGGTGATAGCAATGATCATACTTTCTTCTTAAATGCCAAATCCATCCTCTTTCCTCAATCCCTTTTGCTATAACCTTAAATGAGGGCACTGTCTTGATCTACCAAAACTCTGCTATGCTTCCTAAAAATGTCCAGTGATGAATGAATTCCTACATAATGCCTTTGTTGTTGTGCTGAAGCTCCACCTTCTCGGTCCTGCAGGGTCTCTCAGCTGCCCCTCTCTCTTTAGTGCCTTGCAGTCACTGAGCCTGCTCTGCCCACCCCCGCTGGCTCTCAAGCACCCTCACCCACTGCTGCACTCCTCAACTCTGGGTCCTCACCCTCAATTGACACTAGGACAAGGTCAGGATCTATCGCACTCATGTCTACGGGGTCATTTAGTTTGCAGGGCTCTGGACTCTTGAGAGGAGGGGCAGTCTGGCTTGTGCACCCCTCGTTTCCCGGAGTCTGGCCCAGCTCCTGCACTTGGCTGACTGGATATGTTCACTTGGTCACAACGCTTCTGCTCTAACTTGCACAGTGGCCTTGAAGGGCCTCCTGCCCTTGACTTTCCTGTTCTGACATACTTCATTCCTTGCTGCATCTCTTGCTCTGTAGCGGTCCTTGTCCCTCACTCACTGACAAATTTAGGTAGATAAGAAGTCTTATCTTACTTTTGTATCTTTCACATGATGCTTAACACTGGCATATAAATTCTCAAGAAATAACTTAATAAAATATCTAAAAGCTAATGAATATGCTTTAAGAAATCATTTGACAAACTAATGAAAGTTGATGAATATGTTCTTAAGTCGCTTTGTGTGAATTTGTTCTTTTACGGACACACTATAAGGTCATTTAGGTTGATAATTTAAGTTTAGCTGTAATCCTTTGTGGAATAATGCAGGGAAAAAATTAAAAAGAATTCAAATAACAAACATCTGATCATTGGATAAGGGGTCTGGCCCTTTTATCCTGCATTCTGTTATGTTGTATAGGTACTTGCAAGATGTTTGCTTTGAAGGTGAAAGGGCTCTTGCCAAGACCACCCCTTTGG